GATATTTCATGAGGGAAATTTGAAGGATAAAGTAACCAAATTCCGGGCGAACAGGCATCAGTATTGTTAGCAAATACAGCTCTCTGCAGGGCAAAAAAGAGTGGTATGACCAGTTTAAATAGGAATTTATAGCCACTGACTGCAAATTACCTTATAAAATTACTGATACCTTCATAAAGTCATCAATTATATGTTTAGTCTTGATTGTTATTTATTGCCCTCCTTAATTGTTCAGTAAACTTTTCTAGATTAAGTGGTATATTTCAAATGGATGTGAAGCTGGTTTATTGTTATAAATTAACCTCGCATGAATTTTACATATGGGACAACTGGGGGAACAGCAGTAGAAGAATCTCTTACCCGCTAGTAAAGGTGATGTAGTACTGGTGGTCTGATTTCTGCTCATTAGTGTAGTTTATAGAATCATGAGTATGCAAGCAATAGTTATAAAGGACCCTTAAAATCAGGATTGTTATTAGTATGGAGTGCGACAGTAAAGGCAGCACACAGACTTTTGATTGTTCCTCCTTTTTAAAATAGGAGGAGGAAGGACAGATAGAGAAAACATTTAAAAACCTGGCAAATTTACACTGAGTCCAATTAGGTCTTCTGTTAAATCTTTTCCAGGACTGAACATGTTTGACTTTATTGTTGGTTTTTCGATTATTAGCATTCTGCGTTTTCTTGTGCTCACAAGGACCTGTACGCAACCCTGTCTCACCGTCTTGACACCAAGCAAGTGGCTGTGTCTCCTAAGAGGTGCTGGACTTCATGGGATTCACAACCCAGAATGCCCAAATCACTTTTTCTTTGAAACTATTCTCGTCTCTTTGGATTTCATTCCTCGCTATTCTGTGGAGGCAGCGTGATTCCTATCATACCATTGTTGATTGCATAAAATATTCCCTGAATCCAACACGTTGCATTAAAATCTGCTGTCTGGGTCCTGTCTGATTCTGAACAGAGTAGCTGTTGGATTGCGTTTCAGTGATCCTCAAGCCAAGCCAAGTTTGGAGAGACTTGATTGGGATATCGGTGAGGGGTAAAAACCATGCAAACCTCTGCTGTGATTGATGGAGTTGTGCACAGTGAGAACAAATATGTACAAATACTTGCCCAAAATAGTAGGGCCTCAATTCAGCTGTAACTGGCAGACTTTTCAGCTCGACTTTCAAGAAACATTGTTTTTAATTGACCTTCATGTGAGTAAGTTGAAGAGCCAATGCTGCTTTTCGCAATGAGAGTTTCAAATGGTGGAATCTCCCATCATATGCAAAATTTGTAGTTTTACTATATCATGAGTGATTAAACTTGACCTCCAGGGAGTCAAAAATAATGCTCTGTGACTTCCTTGCCTAATTAACACAGAACAAATGTGAAAATGTGTACATTACAGTAAATTGTGTGCTAATTGGCCTTAGAGAAATACTAAATACAAAGAAGAAATGGGCATATAATTTCAAACATATTTGAGAGGTTTTGCAGTCTGCTTGCAAATAGGAGGAAAAAAAGTCGAAATTTGACAAAACCATTATTTGTTATGATTTATTCACTCAGCTCTAGTCTTGAACCTGGGAGTTATTGGCAGCTTCAGCTAAGATTCCTGAAAAAAAATCCTGCTGAGTATTTCTACTTATAATGACCGCATACAGCATGTAGCTCAATGCTATTTTTTTGGCATAATATCATAAATATCTATTTTAATTCTTGTCTCTATATGTGTATCTAGGGTTTGGTGCTTTTTTTTTTTTTTTTCCCTTTTCTTGTGAAAATACCTCTAGATGCAGGACAATATCCTGCTCCCTTTACTTAGGAGAATACTCCACTTGAGTTCAACAGGAGGATTATTCTCCTTGGGTAGAAACCCCTCTGCCAGAAGGCCCGTACATCACTTAAGTACTGGCTTAAGCAGAGAATAAATGTCCATCTGTGCAGGGTAGAATTTCATCTGTTGTCAGGGAAGTTAGATCTGACCCACGGACTTAAGGAATCCCAGATTTACTCGCTATTCCTAAAAGCACATCTCTTCTACTCTCTGTTCTTTATCACTCAGGACTCAAGAGTTTATGTATCATATTTTCTCTATGCTTTTGCTATGTCTTAGAAATAGTACCGATCGAACATGTAATTCATGGTAAATCCGATCTTTTCCTACTTTCTCTGTCTACTGTGAATACAGAAAGCTGAGTCTGGGCCTTTCCTTTGTAGCAAGAATACCCCAGTATTTGTTACTGTAATTCAGTCTGATGCATCAAAGTGTTGTGTTTTGGTGGCAGTGAAGCCCTTTCTTTTGCCAGTGATATTGTAAGAAATAGAAGGTCAAATATGTTCAAAATGAAATGGTGTAGTGCCATCAAATTGAAATGTTTCAATAATTTTCTTTGATGATTTCAGCCAAATCATAATGACCCTAAGAAACATTGTGATTTCACAGAATTAGTTTTTTCCACTGGAAAAACCAGAACCGTGTTATTCACGTTAAAGAGCCTGCTCTTCCAGACTCAATGTGGGCAAAGTTCCCGGGGACTTTGGAGAAAGCAGAAGGACTCTTCCTGGTTTAGCTCTTATTTGAAGTTGAACAGGTTCACTTTAAATTTTTGATTTTTTTTTTGTTTTATTTGCCTTGTATTCTATGTGTTAAATTAGAATAGTAAAGTGTAGTACTTTAGCTCTGATCTTAAATTTTTTTCTGCCAAGCAGGCACGTACGCATAGGTGTCTTTTTTGCAACCCTCCCGAGTTCTTCGGGACACGTATGGGAGTTTAGACCGTGGTATAGTTTGTTTCTTAGCTAACAATTTCCTCTTGGTTGTTGAGAGGCTTAATTGCTTTGAGGTCTTCTAGTAAAAACTTCGGAGATGTTGCCAGTATTTTGTGTCTGTCTTGTAAGTAGAGCTGTTGTGGAGGGAAGGCCGGTACAGTTAGAGAGGGGCTGGTCAGCTTGTCTTCTGGTGGGACTTTGTGGCTATATCCAACATCTCTGAAAACGCCAGTTGTACATTCTTGAGTGTTTGCAAATTAGTAAGGAACTGAAAAAGCATCTCCCAGAAGCCTTGCAAACATGCAACAACTCTTTCTTGTTGAAAAATTTACTTTCATTAATTATATCATATATATTTTAAGTGTTAGTAGTCATTACAAAGTCACACTAACAGAGTAATCTGCAAAAGCAGGAAGAATATAGTCTCAGGAAAACTCTCTTGCGTGATTGCTGTTAAACGTTTATAGGAAAGTAAAGCGTGACAATTGTTACTTTTGCGATGGAAAAGGAGGATGATGTGGGTTACTGGGTTGGTGACTGAATGTGGTGCGACTTAAGTGGGTTCTACTGCACTTCTTCTGAGTGGAATAGTGGCCCGTAGATTCAGAGCGTGCTACTGCTAAGTCATTTCCACTTATTAAGTACTTAGAAAAATCCTTTTTGTTGCCATCAGGGGGAGCTTTTGAGATCTTTCAAGAGTGAAAAAAAATATTAAAAAAAAAAGAAAGGAGAAAAAAAGAAACGTCCCAGCTCAGAAACAGAGATCTACAAACCAGCAAGCAGCCAGAATCTTACCTGTGGCTACAACTAAGCCAGGGAAACCAGAGGAGCTGAATCCTTAGGCTGAAAAATTAGCAATATTGAGAGAGGATTTTTTGACTCAACCCACCAATAAAATTAATATTTTTTTTTTTAATTATTTCAAAAAACCCAGGAGTCTTTGGAGCATTCAAAAGCCAAATCCTGCTCTGTTGCTACAGCTTCTGGAAGGCAAATGCTCTTCAAAAAGCTTCTCTCCTTTTAGCTCCTGATGATTCGATGGGGACCTTTGATGCAACATTTGGATTAGCTGCACACAACTGCACTGAGGGGGACCACAAAAGGGGGAGCCTGGCTGATTGCATAACTTTAAGAAAATAATAAGAGGAAAAGAAAGAATTAGAAAAAGAGAGAGAGAGTGAAAAAGAGAGAAAGAAAGAAAGCAATTAAAAAATATCTGAGACTCAAGTTTCAAGACTCTTTATGTGCTGCAGAGGAGCATAAGGTTTACCAGCAAAGTGCAACGGGGAGTCTGAGAGGAGAAATAGCTTTCTCTTTTGCCAAGAAAAAAAAAAAAATAGGAATGTGTGTTTTGGACTGGACTGAGAAAGAAAGCTGGGGAGATTGCAAAAAGGGGGGTGCAGGATTTTTGTCACATTGATCCATTCATCTTGATTGTCTTCTTTAAAAAATAAATAAGAGGGGGAAAGTGATAGGGGGAAAGAGGAAGAGAGGGAAAGAAGGAGGGAAAAAGAAAACAGCAAAAGTGTTTGAACCTCTGGAGCTATCTGCTCCTTCAAGCTGATTGATTAGTCATGATCCCTGCAGTTTTAATGGGAATCATTCAATTGGGAAGGTGGAGCACCCTAGAGTAGATTAGCATATTCTTGTTTACTCATCTTCTGAGGGGCTTTTTCTCTTTTCTTTCATTTTGTGGAGAAGAAGGGAGGGGGGGAG